TGGTCTGAACCTCGCGCGGCCCGGGTAATTTTTTTTTAAAATAAAATTCTGTACTTTTCTAAGAAGTATCAGCCCAAACTCGACTGCCATCGAGTGTTCTTGTTCAGAACGTTTCAGAACGTGCCACCTGTATGAAAGTAGCGACAACGCGCTCCTTCGGGTCAGTCATCCTTCCGTCGCCGACGCAAGATGCATTGCACCCTTTTCTTTATGTTTGCAGGCACACTTTTGGCTCATTAAACGTTTATTTTTCGTTCTAAATTATTTTTCTCTTTTTATTTGTGACAACATTGCACAAGGCGGAAAGTGTATATAAATGAACGTGTAAAAAATCATGTGCCTGAAATATATGAGCTGACAATCCATCCTTATTTTACGTCCTGTACGGAATCAACCACTAATAAAATCATACTTTTTATGCCCTATACTCACTCACAACACAAAAAAGGTACCGAACTATATCGCACTCTAAGTCACATATAAGAAGTATAGGAATGCGTGCGATGACTTCTGCAAAATCGTTTAAAAGTTCCGATGTTCTTCCTTAGATGGCAGTAGCGCCATGAAATGGTAAAGGAGAATGATAAAGTTATCAGTGGATAGCAACCGCAAGACACTCACTATCTCATCTTTTAGAGCGCAGCTCTTAGGGGCCCGTTTCCAGCTTGAGTGGCGTCGGCGTCGGCGTAACCGCGAGGTCACGTGACCCCCCCCCCCCAGTGTCACGTGACCCCCCGAGGTCACGTGACCCCCCAGTGTCACGTGACCCCCCTGAGGTCACGTGACCCTTCCTAGGTCACGTGGCCGCCTGGGGTCACGTGACCCCCTGAGATCACGTGAATCCCTGAGGTTACGCGACCCCCTGAGGTCACGTGACCACTCTGAGGCCACGTAACCCCCCTGAGGTCACGTGATACCCCTAAGGTCACTGACCCCCCTAAGGTCACGTGACCCCCTCCCCCGAGGTCACGTGACCCCCCTGACGTCACACGACCCCCCTGAGGTCACGTGACCTCAAGGAGTCGCCTATCCCTCAGTACGCTTCCATGCTCCTCCTGCTCAAGAGCTACGCTCTAACCGGCGTCACAGGGAATTGTAAACGGCTTTCATTTTTTTATCTTTGAAGTTACTGTTTTTTTCACTCGGCTTCTGGTCCGAATGTCCAACGAGACGAAATGTCCACCGAGTTAAAATGTTCAATAGGCCACATGACGCCCGTGTCAATATGTCTATCGAGACGAAATGCCCAATCGGGTCAAAATGTCTATCGGAACGAAATGTCCAATCGGGCCAAAATGTCTATGGAGTCACAATGTTCATCGAGACGAAATGTCCAATCGGATGAAAATGTCCATCCAGTCAAAATGTTCATTGAGACGAAATGTCCAATCTGGTCAAAATGCTCAATCCTGGTTGAATGAGTACCCACTTCCCTCTGTAGTGCCTTCTGGGACCCGGTTTAGCACAAAAGGCCTAAACTCTTTCGTTTTCTCTTTCATCTGCCAAGGTCAGTGAAGGCACAATTTTATACCAAGGATTTCCCCCCACTGTCAGGAACACCGAGTCTGATGGGCCGGTGACGCGGTTTAACGCAAAAGACGCTGAATTATTTCGTCGGCCAAGGTCAGTGGTGGCACAACTTTGTTCCATGAACTTCGCCCCACTCTAGGGTACACTGGCTCCGGTCGGCAGGTGATCCCGTTTAATACAAAAAGCGCTTCTCGGTACGACAATATTCGACCTGGTTTGCGCGCGGTCTGCCTTATTTATGCACCCATTTGTGTTATTCAAGACTGCTACATATAAAGTGTACAGAACAAGTGCCGCAAGTCTCGCTTCCTCAAAAAACAAGTTGCAACAGCTTCTCGATTCGGCACGTTCTTCTCGGATCTGGTGAGTGGATTTTCTTTTTAATACCAGGACAATTGTTTTGTTAAAAAGAGTGTCTACACTCGTAGGTCATAATTTGCCTGTGCACACGTCAAACAGAAGTAGGGTATTACTTATGTTTTGTGGATTAGTGAAATGTTTCCTTGAGTTTTACGCCAATAATTAGTTTTCAGATGGTTCAATAAAAATTTTAATGTGATATGTTTTATTATTATCTGCAGATTTAACAAAAGGAAAACAGCGACGAATCCAGATCATCATTCATCGACTGGTTTCCTGTCGACATGGAGTCCGGTTTTGGGGTTCCGTCGTTTGTGACGTCACATATGCACTCAAGTCGACCCGTGATCCAGCATCGAAGTAAACGATGGGAGAACGCTGTTCTCGTATTTTCGTACAAGTCAACACATCCAAAGGATCCCAGATCAGTAGGTGTATTACCTGCAAAGGCCTGAGTCAGCAAGTCAGACCAACTGCGAGGTGCCCAGTGGCTCACTTGACATTAAGAAATGGCGTACTGGCCACCGATCCAGATCGGCCGTCGACATCCTACAGCTGTAACCCGTCTGGAGAGTCTAATGCTTCCACCATTATATCGAAATCCATAAATATGAAGTATAGACAAACGTGCGCAGCAGTTGAAAAAGACCGAGAGAAGCATTTGACGAAGACGTCTCCTCTACTCCTGAAAGGTTTACCGATTACAACGACACCGTTCAAGGGGAAATTCAAGCACAACTCAAAAATGGCTACCGATTTTCTACGAGGCGACGGTGCCTTTCACGGAATAGGCACCACGCAGCTTTGGAAGTAAACATTCTTGGCGCCATTCTACTTGAGCTCCGTGTGGTTACGGATTCGGATTACGGACGACGGACACGGGTGGTCTTCTCCGCCGAAAAGGACCTCAATGCCCTGGAGCGCGCAGAACAAGTTCTGGGCGATGGGAACTGTAAATAACCCCCCCCCCCCCCCCCCCCCTCCGAGTTTCACCGCCCAGGACAACTCTTCACCCTCCACACGCTACGTGTGTGTTCGATTACGAGTCCGCAGCAATTCAAGCTGCAATCAACGTGCTCAACACATCTTCAGGACGGCCAGAGGTGAATTATTTACGACTTCATAGAGCGGGGCAGACTGCCAATTCTCATGTTTCTTGTAGCGATGCATCGGGCGAACTTGACATATAACGTAGACAAGTATGCGTGTAGAGCTGCATCTTATCGAAGCACTGGGCACGTGTCATTGCTCTTTAGAGGTGTAGTATTATGCAGATCACTATGAATAATCAATAATTCGCAAAAACAGTTCATCGTGCTCCTTGAAGTCTCTGAAACGAGACTTCTCAAATAGCAAGTAACGAGCGCCCACACGCAAAACTAAAACGCATACTTATGACAATGCGTCATTCATTCTCTAGTGCAATCATGCTTTACTTTCGAGTTAAGTAGATGAAAATGTGACATGTTTTAGTTTGTATACAAAAACAGGGCGTAATCTGTGGCTTATTAACATGCTTCTCTACAACTAGGTTTTTTTGCCTTGCAATAGATTCGAGGGTACGCCTTCCACTTTGCCAAGGCTGTTAACGGAAGGCGGGACGAGCTGGGCCTCAAGAAAATCTGCAGAAATAATCCTGCGGTTCACGCGTGGTTCACAAGAAGGAGGCACCTCCCCTCCGTTTCGAATGCCTTCCGCTTGGATTTCGCAAGCGACCTGCTCTCAGACAAGCCAAGCCTTCAGCCGCTGAACGCTGCACGCCTGGGCCAATTCAAAAGGTACTTCAGAGGTCTCTTGTTTACCAACAACCTGCTCAAGGACATCTGGGGCAATTCGGCAGCCGAGGTGCCAGGACAACCAACAACGTGGTGGGCTGGGACAACGGTCTGCATAGACGCCTACCGATCAGACATCCCGACCTGGCAGAGCTTCTGCAATTCCTGAAGTCGGCTCATCATGCAGCGCCAAACAGAATTCAAGGGCTACTGCTTGACTTTCTGGCCGTGGTTCAGCCGCTATCCCACGTCATCCAAACCAGGAACAGCAGACTGGACCAGAAAATGGACGCCTGAAGCAGGCTGGGTTTCTTCGTGCACACTGCCTATACATGTGCTCTACCTATCCGGAGAAAAGATCCGGGGTGAACGACTAAAATAATAGTGAATTCGCGTGGTCGCTCCTCTCCTCTAACCTCGATTCGGGCGAGCGCTCTCTCCTCTGGCTCGGAGGCGCGCTGAATCCTCCTCAGCCGATTTCGAGTGTTGGTCTCGGAGTGCTCTCAATTCAGCGGAAGTGGAAGTGACGGAAATGCCGCCTGGAGCGCCATCGCCCGCCGCTACTTTGAGCGAGTGGCTCACGTCTTTTCCTTTCCCCTTCGGATACTGTCAGGATGGGAACTGCTTCCGACTCCGAGAGCCTGTTGCTTTCCCTCATTCATGGGTCGACGCCACGTGAGTAATATGAAGTTCAAAATTATATTCTGTTATCCCCAGCTGTGTGCAGCAATTAAAATGTTGGGGGTCGAATATCCGAACACGACCGTAAGGCACCGCGAACTTGAAACATTGAAGAAAGCGCTACGAAGTTAGTTTTTCCCAATCTGTTGCACCGCAAACAAATAAGTAACAGCTACTTTCGAAACAGATGGCCATATGTTTCATCATTCTCCGCCGCAAGGAGGAAGCTCCTACAAGGGCTTCGAAAGTAGTAACTCCCAGCCGCAAGGAGGAAGCTCCTACAAGGGACAGCGAGAAACAACAAAATGCAGCAGATCGGTCACTTCAACCAAGTACAAACAGAATGAGGCACATGAATGTATTTTTTGAAAAGATGGCTGAGCTCCAGAAGGAAAAAGAAATGAAGAAAGACGAAAAAGAAAAGGTGGCAGCAGCAGGAAAAGCAAGAAAAGAACAGCGCCACCAGGAACTGCTGAGTGCCCATCGAGAGCACATCGCAGCAATCAACAGGCTGCTGGAGTGCAGCAAAGAGACTGCTCACGTGGATCACTGAAGCCAGACGAAATAAAAACTGGTTAAGGGAACTGCAAGGTGCAAATAAATTTCAATGTAGCATTGCTAACGATCACCAACAATAGCAGAAAATTACACGCTTCACAGAAGTGCCTGGGCAAGGCTGTTCCGCTTTATGCAACCAAGCTGACGCAGCGCCGCATCCCGCACATCAACCCCCACTGGCAGTCGTAGCCTCTTGGCTTCCTCCCGCAGCCTCTTCCTCCTGTCAGTTTCACTCTCCCGCTCGAAGGGAGAGTCCCCGTTGTCGACACAGAGGTTATGAACTACACAGCATGCCATAATGAACTTGCTGATCCTGTTTACTTCGCGAAACTCCAAGTATCGGAGTTGCCGGAATCTTTGCTTCAGAATTCCGAACGAATTTTCAATTCGGACCCGTGTAGCGGTGTGACGACTATTGTACGCCACCTGCTCGGGGGTCATGCTGCCATAGTCCTTGTACGGAGTCATAAGGTACTCTTTTGTGGGATATACAGCATCCCCGAGCAGGTGGCACTTCCTGGTCTCGCAGAGTTGCGGCAGTTCGTCGGAAAGAAACGACAAGCGAAATATGCGGGCGTCGTGTATTTTGCTTGAAGGGCCAGCAAACACGTCTAGAAACCTGTAGCGGGTATCACAGACCTCCTGCAGAATCAGAGACGTCTGATCATGTCGGTTAATATACGTAGACTTTACTTTGTTTGCGGGGCATTTCGTGTCTATGTAAGATCCGTCTATGCAACCGATGACTCCTGGAAATCCAGCAATCTGCAATAAAAACATTTCCTAGAATAAACATGATGCCAAACCAAAAGTGCACAGAGTGCGGCTTCAATTATTCTTCGAAGGAGTAATGAAGAAGAAAATGCATATCCCTGATCTTAAATTTCATATATTCATTAACCCACAAAAATGTCAAATGGTAGGTATTACGGCAAAATATTGAACCACAATTAAAATTTGTTTTTCAGAGTCTTTTCGACTCTTAGGCAGCATGAGCAACGATAAATCACGGTACCTTTGTAAAAAAAAAAAAACAACGCTAACAGACTTTAATCGTGATTTACGCTTAAAAAATAATGAATTAAAATTTACAGCTGCATTGCTCCCGTGTTGTTATCGCCATTGTGAACCATCTGCTACATTGACGTCATGTAGCGGAGTGCGGCTCCAATTATTCTTCGAAGAAGTAATGAAGAAGAAGATGTATATCCCTGACCTTAATTTTCATATATTCATTAACCCACCAAAATGTCCAACCCTAGGTATTACGGCAAAATATTGAACCGATTTTAAAATTTGTTTTCAGACAGTCTTTTCGACTCTTAGGCAGCATGAGCAACGATAAATCACGGTACTTTTGTAAAAACAACAACAAAGAAACACGCTAACAGACTTTAATCCTGATTTACGCTTCAAAAATAATGAATTAAGATTTACAACTGCATTTCTCCTGTGTTGTTATCGCCATTGTGAACCATGTGCTACACTGTCATGTAGGGGGCACGCGGGCGGCAGGGCGAGCAAGGTGCAAATGTCGTCTGCTAGAGTGCTTCACCTGCTCTGCTTTGTCGGCTCCGCTGTCTTTTACATGCGGCGACGCCTGTGCGGCTGTTTCTTTTTGACCTCTTGCTTCAGAACCGTTCTTTACCATTCGCGTTTGCAGATGATGAGGCGACTATAGACAATCGCAAGTCAGTGCTGACGTGGCGTTAGGCAGACAAATCAATGAGCAGCGTTGCATAGTTCTGGAGAGATGCTCTAGCTCAACCCTTTCTAAATGCACTACCGTCAATTTGGAATCTTAAAACGTAAATTGCACGTACCGCATGATGCAAAGGTCATCCATACAAAGTTTATTTGAACTTTAGGGAAGAGAAGAAAGGATCTACGAAAGTGTCATTATGCAACGAGACCGTCTCACCTGCAGAGCGCGGTCGGTTGGTGATATTGTTGTCGTAGCTGCTTCTGAGAACCCGTAGGTATAGCGGCCAAGCCGTTGCATTTAGTTTGGAGTACAGTGAACCCGCGATAATTCGAATTCGGATATTTCATACTTCCGGTTAATTCAAACGAATTAAAAAAATTTTGGTTGCCCTGCTATGTTTTTAATGCACTTATAAGTTGCCTAACTGCAACAGCGTTTTCACTCGATTCATACTATTTGTTGATCGCGGCAGGCTAGCCACGTTGAGTGCGCTTCACATTGAGCACCTGCCTACTGCGGGAAAGCAATTCCCACCAAGCCCGCGGGCATTATTTTCCCGCACTGCACGGGGCTCGGTGAGAAGCGCACTCGAAGGGGCTAACCCACCGGGATTACTCGAGCAGTAATGTCCTGACAACCTACGTTTATTATTTTAGCTTTTTTTTTACATTTTTTGGGGAGGATTAATTCTAGATTTCTCAATGTCAAAAATAAAACGCAGTTGCCCTTTAAGCCCTGTCTACGTCACCATCTTTCGCAGACACCACAAATTTCCTACTGGTTGCCTATATTAGCGACTCACTAGATCTACGGGTTCCCAGAAACAGCTACGACAACGATATCACCGACCGGCTGTGCTCTGCAGGTGAAAAGAGTTTCTTAACCTAACACACGGTATAGTGACAAATATAAAAAACTGAGAGAGAACCTCTCCGGAATACTGAAATTATCTTTTTTACGCTAGTAGATAGACCCACTGAATGCATGTGGGTTATATAAAAGAAGGACTTCAATTCCAAATACAGATGTAAACCAGAATTCCCAAGAAACATTTTACGACCCCTTCAAATATTTTTATGAGAACTTCAGAGGATTGTGTAATCTTGTGGTAAAGCATGGTAAAGAGCTGCAAACTGAAAAGGTGAGAATACCGTGAGCCATGCGTGTCTGAGAGTGCGACAGTAACAGGCCGCAGCGCATCTTTAAACTCGAGTTTATCCCATTCTCCTAAGTGTACCACGGACTGTATCAGCAATGGTTTTATTTATGGTTCCTCTTTACATACAAATATTATATCAACTTGACAAAACACATTCTAAAAAATAAGAAGCATCAAACTTGTAAAAGCAAGTCGGAAAAAAACTGAAAGTAAACGTCCTGGGAGCCTCACAGTGGTAGCAGACATTTCCCAAGAGGATTAGCAGTCGCTACAAAACTTCTGCCACCCCTCTCAGCCTTTCAATGGATATACTAGTTTAGTATTTTCCCCCTTAGTTCCATTAGTCAGCCTTACCTCCTCAAACTCAGCAGCCAGGGCCTCTTTGTCCCAAGGAAACTTGATTACCTGAGGAGCAACGTCACAGAGGAAATCCATAACTCGTTGCACCATCACGAATTTAGTTGAGTCGCTTGCGTTAAAACGTCCTCCGATGTCCCTCAGGCATGTCTTGTTTCCAGCATACCTGAATAAAAGAAAATTAATCTGAAAACGGTGTTAACCAATCAGTTGGCTACTCTAAAATTAACATATAAGGTCAATTACGAAACACTTGTTACAGAAAAAGGCTAGGTAATGGTTCAAGTTCTACATGTGTAGTCATCTGCACCATCAGTGAGGCAAATGTTTACTTCACTAGCCTTAAGCAAAAGCTAAGATAACAAATTAGCAACTTATTTTTCACACTTTAATGACAGTGTCAGCAACCAATTGAAATCAGGTACTCAATAAAGCATATATAGTATTTCAAAAATAAAGTTTTTATTTCGTAAGTGCACGTGAAGTGGAAACTACAAGCATAAGGATGTTATCCTAATAGGTGCAAGCACCGTGCAAATGTGGGCATGACAGCTTTCATCAAAGCACGGACTTCCACATCTGACTGTTGAAACAAATGAAATGATATAGAGCATTGTGAACGAGGTTATGTTCTTCGGGTTAAAATGACTACTAGAGAGCAAGTATTTGCGAGTATCCGCGACAAATATTTCCCTTTTTTGGGGGGTCGGGAGGTTGTTGGACAGGGTGAATAATCTCCTATGAATAATCAAAAATGTGCAGATGAATGAACCATACTGATCCAATGGGATAATTGTACCAAAGCCGTCGAAATAAAGAAATCATCGGTGGTGCCGAGATTCATAATCTGGGTTTTGTGGTTAACCAGTGGCATTTGTCATCTTTCAAAAACCGAAACTCCAGGAGCAGGTGGAGAGACCGGGACCAGACAGAACTCAGCTGGGCCGGATGGGCAAAGACCCGTGACAGCCATTATTCACGGATTATATAGAAACATAACAGCAAGGCGGTGCCCTCTATGATAGTGTGTTAGAGTCATGTTAGTATTGTTAAAAGAGATACCTGCCGGGTAACAAACACTACAGCAGGGAGATAGCCATACCATATGACCTATATCAGAGCGGCTATATAAACTTGCAAAGAGCAAACTGTGTCAATGAATCGATCTCGGAGCTTACTGTTCAAGGTACGCTATCACACCGCAACTAGGTCCCGTGCCTTGCAATGCCCAATGCCTTCATGGCCCTCTTGGTTGAGTTCAAGTATGTTTTGTCGAGATGATGATTAAGCAGTTTTTTAGCAGTAATCTGTCTTAGACCGTGATACTGCTATGCAACTTCTAATAGTCGCTCAAATGAATGTTAACCTATACTTTCTTTGGCCAGCAAAGACTTTCAAGATGAGACGATGTGAAATCTTCAAAACCCCTTCCGACCTTGGGAAAGATATTGGCCTGTACCTATAGACCGTTCCATTAGGGTCATAGCAGAGAGGGTAAAAAGAGAAAAAAATGCCCTCCCCCTTTCGCCCGCATGTCGTCTGCTCCGCCGAGTGGGCAGTACCTAGCATCCGGCTGGCGTACAAACTCTGTTTAAAATCGCGTCATTTTGGGAATTTCAAGCGCAGATGCGCAGATGCGCAGATTTTGGTATGCCAGTTATCGTGTATTACTATGCTAGATAAAAAAGACTAACATAGTCCAATTGCGCTGTTATGTGCGTGCAAATAAGAAAAAATAGGGAAAACTGTGTCAGACTGGCCGGTCTCTAAGGCGAAAAGTGAATCCGGTGGCTGTACCTTTTTACTATACTAAGTTCGTACTAATGTAGGTCTTTAGTGACCATGAGAGGATGTCTGAAATAATAAATAAAAACTTGCTCTCCTGCCGCAATACACGCAGTTATTAAGGAGAGTACTGCCGGCTGACTCAACTGCTATTTAAGTAATGGAAAAAAGATATGTCAGTTGAACATTTACCGAAGTAGAACAAGAGAGAGCTCTAGGCTGATTTTGGAGTAGCCATAACTATTCTAAGAACGCGAACCACTTCACAACGGGAGCCACAAGCGAGAGTTCGATGTTCCGTACAGCCCATAGAGATCATACATACTAACTCTAGAGGAAAAGGTCCGCCATTTTCCCATACATTCTGGCTGCCGCAAGCGGCGGATCATGCAGGCAGACCCTCGGGGTCCCAAACACGGTTACATCATCAGAGCAGTTTCGTGAACTTCAACAATCCACGAACTTATTGGTGGAAAGATATTCGCGTTCCTTTCGAAGCTTTCTTTTTGCATAGCGCGCAGATATACGGCCTCGCGTTAACGCTAAACTAAACCATATACCCGGCTTCGCCGGTGGGGCGCGGGTGGGCTCGGTTGAGGAATACGAAACTGCGCAACCACCAGATTTCCGAGATTTCGACAGAAGAGAAGTTAATGCAGCGTAATGACTTTATTGCTTTTTATAAGCGTTAGAATAGCTCAGAATTTAGTTTACAACGTTAAATTATCACTGTTTATATTGCTGAGAGTTTTCACTGTTCGCGTTTACCATGGCAACGTTGATTTCTTTCTCTCGTGTTCTGTCGCTCTCTTTTGCGATCGTTCACTCGGGACCCCGGGTGTCGGCGCACGGGATTTGCCACTCCTCCTCACCCACCTTTACCCCCCTGGTACAGCCCGCCGATACAGCTAAAAGATGGAGAATGGCAACCTCCCGTTTTGTCGTCTGCTAGCGGAGTCGGGCGCGTGCCCTCTCTCTCGTTTTACCCCACCGAACCCGCTGAATTTCCCGGATGTATTGAGAGGTCGCTGGTGTCGAAAAAAATGGTGCCGCCCAGAGAGCGCTAAATGGAATGGTCTATACTCTGTCTAAGTGATACCCCGCAGAACAGGTGAAGCTATAGGGGCGATAGCGTATCCCAACCAGTTCAAGAGGAGGGGAAGGAGGAGCGGGAGAGAGAGGTTGGGATTCCTAGCCCCTGTCGTAATTAGTTGGCGGTCTGCTTCTGCTTGCCACATACGCTCGACCGATCGAGCAAAGACAATCGACTAGCGTTTGCGAGACGTTGCTATGTAAACGATTATCGTGTCCCTTCAGGCTTAGGAACGGCCAAAGTCAGAAGACGATCTGACAAACGGGGTCAGAAGACGATTTGACAAACTTCTGCTGTATACTAAGCATCCAAGGGCCCTTCATGAAAAAACTTGTCAACAAAGATAACACCACCATCGTGGCGCATGCACCTCGCCCACGGCCTATACCGTGCAGCATCATGCTCGTCAACCCACTATACTGTCTGCGGTAGTAGATGCACATGCAACCCAACTGCACCCTTACAGTTTGGGTCAGTTTCTTATCGAAGGCCTACTACACAACTATACTTTATCTTATTATACTCCATTGACCTCTAAGCTAATAGGGTAGGAAAATTAAATCAGCTACCGCACACCAATGTAGGTCCGCATAATCCTGTACACATGAGCGAAAAACGGGTTAGCGAGTAAACCAGTGCGCAGAGTGCCGTCCGACCGTCCTCTTACATGGCTTTCAAGTGTCATCTGACGGGGCTTCTACCAATACGTGCCTTGCACGTCACGTCATACGGCACCGTGCCAGCCGCCATTACTCCGTGCCCTGCAGATGTGCCCGTACCTTCTGCAGCATACATTATGCACAAACGAATTTGTTCTTCTCGGCAGGCCTTGCTAAAAAGAACAAATTCGTCGGTGCGTAAGGTAGGCTGCAGAAGGTATGTGCACAGGGGGTCTAGGCCAACTCGTCGAAAGCCGACTCGTCCACGGCCAACTTGTCGGCGGCCCATTCGTCGAATAGGCCAATTCGTCATAGGATAACTCGTCGAAGGAAAACTGGTCGAAGAGGCCAACTGGTCGCCGCTGTTTCAAAGCCATAAATATCATTTTTTGTCCTGAAATATTAAAGCAAATCCTGCCGTACAGTAATGCGTAGTATCGTCGCACAGTAATAGACCTCCAGTGAGCTCTTTTTTGTCGAAGATGACAGCTTGTAGCTTTCGTCGCCTTCACGGTGCAGTGGGGGCGATAACTGTGTCGCGCGTCTATCACTGGGGCGCGTGTTAACCTACTCGGCCCACCCGTTCACGCCGCTTCGCGGCAACAGTCTGCGGCGGCTCGTAAGAGAAATGCTAACCCACCAGGCCCCACAGTCACGCAGCTTCGCTTCGACAGACTGTGGTGGCTTATTACAAGAAGTAACCAAGAAAACCAACAAAATGAGGACCCCGAAATGAACATTTCTCAACTTCTGTCAATACACTGCCCTGTCTTCGCCCTCTTGCAATTTTTGTTTCCGCCTTGTACTCTAGGAAAGACGCTGACTTTAGAGCAAAAAAAATGAAAATTTATGTTAAAGGATAACAATGAACCACAGACTTTTACCTCGGACCATCATTCAACACATTCGATGAGCCGCCCTTTGACATATTGCCCCTTTCGACAAGTTGCCCTTCGACGAATTGCCTTATTACAAATTGGCCTATTCGATGAATTCGCCGTCAACAGCTGTGCTTTCGACAAGTTGGTCGGATCCCATGTACAGGAGCATGGTGCGAAGTAATGTAGACTGATGTGACGTCAATGCAAGTCATGTATTGTTCAAATACTGTGCATTAATGCAGAACAGCATGCTAATCAACATGTTGTAGTCGAAATTACTATGCCTGTTTCCCCTGCACATCTTTTCGTGCTCGAATAGCAAATCATGAGAATATTGGAAATAAGTATTGCCAGAAAGCTTTCTTCGTGAATAATATTAACTGAAAACTAATATTTATAGCTCGCTTCAATAGCGCGATGGCTAGCATGCCTGTGATCTCCACTGAATATTCAGGTTCGTTTCTGCACACCTCCAATACATTTTTTACGCTTTTGTTTTACTTATTTTGTTTTTGTAGCTGCTGTCGCCACCACTGAACAACGTGAGATCCAAATTCAAATTTATTTTAAATCACACAGTCGTAGCCTTCGTCAGTGAACGTGCCAGGCTCGGCAAACGCGAAGAGCGCACACGGCTGTACTGCGCAGACATAAGCATAGGCATCATGGAAGCATACTACTCGTGGTTGTGGCATTTGTCTAGCTCGCGCTTTACCATAAAACAAATCAGCGGCGAGACGTTGATAAAATACACATTAGAATAAGCGTAACACCTACAGACGGCACGAACGCCCGTAAGAGTGCCGCCACTTCAGAAACAGCGTCGCAGTAACAGGTTTCTGATTTATCAGAACCGCGCAGATTGTTCGTTTCAAGGTTGAACGTTCTGACCCATGGCCTAGGTGACTGTCCAGCATGGACTTACCACAGGAAAGAAAGTACGTGATCCTCGGCAGACTTTGGACTCGCGCCGCAATGCCGCTCGTCTGTCGGGCAAAATTCGGATGACACGAAACGAGCGATCAGGTCGTCGCGCACGGCTTTTTCCAGTCGAAAGTTCCTGCGAAGCTGTGAGATGAAAACAGTAATATGTGCGAGTTCTTTCTTGTTTTGAAGCTTTACCATGCGTGCAAAAAATTAAAAACAACAGTACCTCGTAATCCGAGTATGCGTGGACGACATTTTCTACGTAATTTTCGATCTTCGGTAAGTGCTGCGGCACACCAAAGAGTTTCACAAACTTCCCAGCGTAGATCTGGGGTCTTAACCTGGACACTTGGCGAAAAAGTCGGCGAGAAATCTGGCGGCTGTGATTGGCCGACGCCGCACTTGACCTTGGCGCCGGCCAATCATAGCCGTCAGATTTCTCGCCATCTTTCTCGCCAAGTGTCCAGATTAGGGCCCCTGGTCGTCGTCTTCCGATGCGCTGCTGGCTGAACTTTCGTCGCTGTCGACGTTCGCTGCAAAGAGCGGCGAGCACCGTGCTCCGCGCAATGCGAGTCGCCGACGTTACGCCATTTTGCGTCGTCTTCCCCGGCGCGCGAAGTCAACAAAACCACGTGACATGTACCACGTGACCCCGGCTCTCGTTCGAGCACCACGTCACTCCGACGGTCCGAGCGAGAGTGGCAGGGAGCACTCTCGGAGGGAGGGAGGCCCTCGGAATGAACCTGGCGATTACGTCGCCGTGCTCTTTTTCAACCACCCGATCTGGCGCGCGCTGGAAAGAGCGCTCTTGAGCGCGCTGAAAGCACCACGCGAATTCGCCATAAGATGATGACGAATGCACGTGCGATGAGTAATTGCTTCTTGAGTCTAAAACGCTTCTGCTGCAAACGTCCGCATATGATCCTCGTGGACCTAAACACGAAGCGGCACACTACTCGGTTTCTAAACATTGAAATTGGCTCGATATAAGATAACATTGTAGAGATTACAAGAAAAAATGCAGAAAGATAGTGAAACAAAGAAAAACTAATAAAACACAACCTTTTTTTTTCGTTCGTGCTTTTTTGAGTTTTTTTATTCCTTTCGGTTATGAACTAACTAGCTAATCCAAAGTATTAGTTCTATTTTATCTTTGCTTCGATCACCTCACCCTAATGCAAACATCTATTATTGCATTTGCTGCCATTAGTCATCACTTTTAATGATATTGACTTAGATGGCCCCTTATTTCCAGTGTCTTAAGGAAGGAAACCCTGTTTTAAGCATCGCAAAAATAAGCTGGATATCGCGGTGAGCGTCAGCCTGGTCAATATATAACTCCAGCGGCTGGAGCAAGGAACCCAAGTTGTCAGAACATGGCGTAGTCTGATTAATTTTAGGCAATGCTTAGAAATTTTGAGCACTGAAATGGTGGTCAACAGAGCCCGCGGATGCTTGATGATGAATAGCGCCCGTCACCGGGAACAAACCCCATTTGTTACTAGAAATAAAAAAAAAAAAAAGAAAAAGAAATCGCCTTCTACCTTTTATTGAGAACACTATCCTGGTATTTGACAATTTTTTTTTTCAATCGCTAGGGTTACAGTTTAGCGGATTTCCAGCGTCCGCAGCGTGTATTAGTTATTTCGTTTTTTTTTTTTCAAAAATTGTTTCTTATATTTCCCCACGTTATCACATGACTACCGTTTTCGCGAAAACATGGGGCGCGTGTAAGTATTCGGAATATCTAAAGACATTGCGCAGTGTCAGAGTCTGGATCAACGATACAAGATGTTCAAGAGGTCAAAATGTCCATCGAATGAAAACTTCCACCGAGTCGAAATGTGCAGTAGGGTTAAAATGTCCAGAGTCAAAATGTCCAACGAGACGAAATGTCAAATCGGGTAAAACTGTCCAAAGAGTCCAAATGTACGACGTTACGAAGTGTGCAATCGGGTTAAAATGTCCAAAGAGTCAAGATGCCCAAGGAGACTAAATGTCCAACCAGGACAAAATGTCCAACGAGACGAGATGTCCACCGAGACTAAATGCACAATATTGGACATTTCGTCTCGTTGGATATTTTGACGCGGGATCCCGTTTTGGCGGCAATTCGCACGAAGGGTAAAAGTTAAAGGTGAATACGCCACACGGAGACAAAAAAGTGAACTGGAAGTGCCTGTCGCAAATTTGTGGCCACGCGGCCTGTGTAAACGCGCCTTAAATGTAGTGAAGGTTGAAGGGTTGTTTCACCTGTGTCGTCCACTATGTTTCTGCTGTTTCTAATTGTTAAAAAAAAAACAAAAAAACATAATAGTACAACACACTGCCACGCACTGTCTTTACACCGTCCGGGTACGTTGCGCTGTTTCACCCCATAACGTTTCAATAAAAAAGTGACGAGTTTAGGGGGCTCTATTTACTAAACAAACAACTCTCCGAAATTCGAATGTGCGCGTCCGTAAAGAAACTGACGAGTGGAAAGTAAGTATGCTATGAAATGAACTGTTAAGAGAAAGTTGTAATACCAGAAATGGTTTCTGAATCCTTGGGATGACGCTGATACAATGTCCACACGGTTAGCGACAAGATTGTGTTCCTTATACAGTGTGTACTCCACTGGCGAATTCGCGTTGTTCTTTCTGCGCGCTCTCGAGCGCTCTTTCCAGTGCGCACGAAATAGGGCGGTGGAAAGAGAGTGCTGTGGCCTGATCTGATAGTTTATTTCGAGGGCGCCTCTCCCTCTCAGAGCGCTCCCTAGCACTCCGTCGGTAGCCGTCGGAGTGCGGAGCGGCGCAGGCGTCACGTGCTACTTGGACGGAGATCACGTGGTTTTGTTGACAATGGCCGGCAGTGGTCTGCGGTGGTGTGCGGGGTCCGGCGAGACTGCGATTGATTTGTGGTTCTACATTCGATGGTGCGAGGATTACAACGGACGGGACGCCGTTTGTTTGTGACCATAACAGGCAAAGTCGACGTGTGAAGTATTCCCAGTGCTTTTACGAGATCATAAATCTCGCGGCGGTGATTCCGCTAAGCCAAACCGGCGAAGAAACAGCTCGCAGAGCTCGCCGCTGTTTTACCGGGTTTTGTGATCGCTTAAAGAAATTTTCAGGTTCGGAAAAGTGTTTTCAAAGGTTTGTGTTGTAAAATAAAGGGAAAGCCGAATCCAATGCACAGTCATTTGTGTCACATGGCGATAAGTGTTATATCCTGCTTGCACAATATTTCGTTGTGAGAAAAATACGGTTCATTAACCATCTATTAACCTACCGTAGCGCGTTCACTGTCAAAAACGCGATGAACTGACAACTCTTTCCAAGCATTGGCTTTCGTTCAGTACTGCAAAAATCAATTCGGTTACTGCTGTTTTTTTTTTTTGTTATTTTTTTACATGTTGATGCGTAAAACAGTTTACGTCACACGTTATTTCATCACGTTGCGAGCGTAAATTTTGCTCAATCGTCCACCGTACGCTGTAAAATCTTTATTGTTTTAATGCATTATTATAATTACGAAGTTTTACTTCCATTACTGGACTGAAAATCTCGGAGTGCTTTAAAGTCAGCAGTTGTGATCGGCTGAAAATTATCCCGAGTAGCTCTGGCGCCGAAGAAGGGGCGGTCTGCTGAATCAAGGTCAGAGGAGAAAGGCGACCACCCGAATTCACCAAAATGCTTTGAACTCACTTCAGGCAGTACACAAAAATCGGTTTCTCAGCCTATCGCGCTTCGATCTGCTACAGAGATGCGTCTAAGTGGTGGAAGTTTGGAGCGAAGATATCAACAAATGAGCTAACCGCAAGAAAAAAAAAAATCTGCCTTGGCCAGTTTACGGCGGTGTTTCGCAGACGATGCGTGCCGTAATCGAAATGCTGCCGGGAAGCATCGAGGGCGCGCCGGCGCCGGAGCTTTACGAGACAATCTTCATAAAGTTTGGACTATATACTACCTTCAACTCAGCGCGATCTCTCAAAAATATGATTTGGAAAGTGCAATACATTTTGTTTTATAAATTGAACAGAAAAAAACAACCCCTGCTGTTTTACAGAGATGATTGGTCGAGGCCCTGATTCCTCTCATGTCTTACGTTGCGGCATTTGTTGACAGCATATCCAAGTCGGCGAGCGCTGTTATGGCACCGTAACAACGTGCAGATTGTTGAAGCAGTTACATCTATTTTCGCTACAGACAATCAATGAAGAAGTCCTTAGTCCTGAAGAATTCTGATGTAATTTATTACCTGTTAGTGAAGTGCCCTCAGTCTTGTACAGGTTACTCGAAAAATGTAATCGGTCACATTTATAATTACCCTAGGTTAAAAAAGTATTCAGTTAGATTACTTGATTAATTGAGAAGATAAGTAATTCCCCGTTGTTTCAAGAAGTAATCCTAACTTTTCCGATTAGTTAAGATTTTCGAAACAACATGTTTTTCTGCCGATTCGAAGACTGGTCTTTCGTACTGTCCATTATTTGATTCGGATCGAATTATAAACTACTTTATCTTCTTAATTCACCCATTTTGGTAAACCATCATCCTGTCGAAGATTTAGTTCAAGGATTCCTGTGACCTCTGACAAAGAGTGAAAGTTCAGGATGAGAGGATTCGTCGGTGTAGGGTGTATGCAGTGCCCGAACTTCATTCGCGCTTTCTTCTCTGTTTTAAACTCGCAAACCTAATTAGAACCATGCGCTTCGATGGCGACAGTCCCCCGGTCATCGGGACACCATTGCTTGGTGATAGGGGGCACGAATAACGACAAAGCGTTGAATACTGTCTGAGGACCTATGTAGCTTGCATGGAATCCGGCAAGGCGAGTGCGGCTGCAATGTTTTTAAGCTCCATCACTTTCCGCATGACTGGAACTGAAGAACCATTTATCAATTTTTGCTTGCAATGGGCCTATTTCAACGTAGCCGTTTCTAGTAATCAACAAACGATACACCACAGGGGAACCTCAATTAACTTTTGTCAACACCCGGAGCTTCCACCAATCGTTTTGCTGGGCTGCTTTAATCGTGCGTGTCCGTATTCTTATATTTTCTTGTGGATGAACGACGAAGACGTTTTAGATGTACATATATAGAACCTCAGAAAGCCTCAAAGCAGCCACAAAAAAGTTTCCGGCTCTCTGGTATCGCGCAGGAGATCGCGATTCAGGAAAACCGATAGAACTAACTTTTCAACAATTTCCAGGCAAACCCGGCGGCGGAAATTAGCCTTCAACTAAGTTTTGTAGATGATACAATCGAGTAAATGTCACCACTGCAAAATATCATTATTAAGATAGATTCAGTTAGAAAAGTTTACAAGCTGAAACAGCAATTATCATGGGAAAACTCGCATTCAGCTTGCGGGTGTACCCCATATGTTCATC